CAAATAAATAAAATCTTTAAAAAAAAAAAAAAAGAAAGAAAGAAAATAGTTTGTATAGGTCTATTGGATTGTTTTCTTTCGTGGCCAAAAACTAGGACACTGCCAGTTTTTTGCTTTTATAGACAATGCTTCTTAAACTATTGTGCAAATGTTTCTGAGGGACAGATGCCCCGGCATTGGAATTAATGGTTGGAAAGGTGAAAGCATTTTATTTTTGGTAAATTTTTCCAGAGTACCCTCCAAAAAATTTGAATCGGTTTACATTCCCTTCCACTGGATATGAAGGTGCCCATTTCCCTATGTTCTTGTGGAAAATGGGCATGTGGTTTATTTTTTGACAGTGTGATAAGGGGAAAATAATTGGCCCCGTGCACATATTTATACCCGTTTTCGTATTCTTGGCAATCACGACTTTCCCCTGGGCTGGCGGGGATTGCTGTAAGTCTCCGTGAGGGTGACCTGGACTCTGATGCACCCTTTCCTGCAGTTCCTGCTCATATTCCACAAGGCCGCCGCTGGGGAGCTGGAAGAGGACAGCGGGCTGATGGCGCTGGCCAAGCTCTCCGAGATCGATGTGGCCCAAGAGGGTGTCAAAGGTGCCAAGGACTTCTTTGAAGCTAAGGTGGGTGCTTCTTGTGCAGGACCGTCCTCCCTCCCTTCACCCTGCCCAGCAGGAGCTCAGTGTCTACCTCATTCACTTGCCCAGGACAAGCAGAACGGCAGTAGCTTAAGTGTGTGTATCGTGTGTGATTGAAGGGGGATGAGTGTGTCTGCATGCAATCTGAAAATGCGAAGCAAAATGGAAAAACGATCAGATGGTAAGTGCCTTCCATCCTGGTTTCTGATCTGAATGGGTTTGCTGGTACGAGGCTCTGGATTGACTCTGGATCCAGACTTCCCAGAAGAACTCCTCTCTGCCCCAAGCCACAGTTGAATTAACTGGAGCAGATGCCTCTACCTTTACATCTTAAGTGAACAAGTGAACAATGGGGCCAGAGGAGGGCGCCCCGGTGGCCTGCCCCTGCCCCGATTGGAACCAGTACTTACTCCACTGACAGTGGTTCGGGGTTGGAAAGCAATCTCCAGTGGGTGGCCCCAGAGCCCTTCTGGGTGCTTCCATTCATTCACATGTTCATCCCATCATCAGACATGTTTGGAGAGCCTCCCCCTGGCTGGGCGCTGTCATATTCATCTCCACAGAGTACCCCTGCAGAAAGAGAAATTAGAGAGCCCTCCAAAGCCCCGGTCAGCCAGAGTAGTAGAGTGCAGTGGGGGAGGGCTGCCTGGGGTCAGATCCTGCCTCCTCCACTGACCCTGTTACCGCTCTGTGCCTCAGTTTTCTCATCTGTACGATGGGGGCGATAATAGGATGGCTATGAGGATTAAATGAGCTCACCTATAGAAAGTGTTTAGCAAGTGCCTGGCTCACTGTGAGCGCTCGATACGTGATAGGAGCTGTTGGGACTCCCTCCCGTCCCAGATGGAAGCCAGCCTCTTGGAGAGTGTTCGCTTATTCCAGGAGTGTGCCCAGAGACACAGTGTCCCTGGCAAACATCCTGGCCATGCTGGCCCCCGAGTAGGACTGTCTCCTTACATCCCCATGATGCCACTTAGAGACCGCGTCAGGCATCATTCTGCCAATATGTAGACTGTGAATCATGGCGGACCCCTAACACCTGCATTCCTCCTGCCATCATCTCAGGATTCTCGGGACAGGCCAGCCACATATGGCGCCTTCAACGCCAGCATCCTGGGTCCAATCCTGAAAGTGGTTTGGCCCTTCCTTGCTGACTTAGCATTGATTCAACACAGCTCTGGCAATGCCAGGCACCCCAAGCTCTGGAAATACAACTCCTTCACGGGGAGGTAGTGGACAAAACTTGCCTTCCCCAGGACGCACATAGTCTAGGGAGGAAAACAAACTCTCAGCCTTGAAAGAGAGGGAATAGAGAGGAGGGATGGGTGAATTCTGGAAGGATGGGTCCTCTCCATTCATTGCCCGATGAGCCAACACTTGCGGATCTTTCATGATGCCTTGGGCAGGGGCCTAAGATTGAGACCCAAGTTTAATGTGACATTTTTTGGGCCACTGCTGCAACTCAGCATTCCATGCTCTTGTTAAAGTCTGCACGAAGTCTCTGGGAACGATGAAGAATCTTGTAACCCGATTCCGATCCTTGCTCTGGTCTCCACCCCGTGTGCATTTCTTCAAATAACTGCCATGCCTTTTCACCACTGGGGCCTAGTGCCTGCTATTTCTCCACCTGGAATACCCAACCGAAGGCCTCTTCCTGGAAAACTCTACTCCTTCCATGTTTAAAGAGTGGAGGGAGCAGAGTTTGGCTGCTTTTCCTGAGAAAGTCCACCCTCTTCTGTGTGCAGCTACTACGAACAGAAGTGGTGTTACAATGTATCTGTTCAAGGGGCGCCTGGGGGGCTCGCTGGGTTCTTGAGTTTGGCTCAGGTCCTGATAGGCATGGAGCCTGCTTAAGATTCTCTCCCTTTCCCTCTGGCCCTCCCCTATTCTCAGACATTTTTGGTGAGAGTGCAGAAATTGTCCCAGCTCTTCAGAGAGCAGTTTGGGGCTGGCTGTGAATGCTTCGTATCATTTACTTCTGGGATTCTGCCCCTAGGATTTTATCCCTTAGAGGCACTCATGCAAATAAACATAGACGTGTAGACAGGGATTTTATACAGCATTAACAGAAAAGTTGGAAACAACCAGAGCTTCCATTGTCAGGGAATTGAGCCCCTGGTGGCACGCCCGCCCACTTGCACATCCTGAAGCTATCGGAGAATGAGGTGCAGCCGCACTCGTGTGTGGACAGATGTCCAAAACAAAGGAAGCAGAACATTATGTTTGAAACCCAATTTTGTTAAATACTAAATACGACCTGGATAATTACATACCCAAGTCTCAGTAATAGCTATGACTGACTGAGGGACTTCTTTTTTATATTTTTGGAATGGAATAGTTTTATAATGTGTGTGCATGATTTTTATAAGGAGGAGAAAAGATTAAAAGAATAACAACGAAATGTTTTGAACTTGTTGTATGTCTGCCTCCTCAACCCAGACTCAAAGGCAGAGAGGTGTGTTATCTTTGTAATTACAGAGCCTGGCTCATAATGGCCCTCACTAAATGTTTGCATGACTGACGAATGGAAGGCATCATCACGCCGATTTGGGAGAGGGCCATCAAGGAGCTGACATTTGCGACAGATGTTCAGAGATGAATGGGGATTCACCTTGTAATCAAGGGAGGGCATTCCTGCCGTGGGAACAGCAAGCACAAAGGCTCCGAGGCACAGAGGGTAAAGAACGTTGGGAAGCTGGCCCCCGTCCACACCGGATGCAGTTGCACAGGGAGCTCTGGTCTCCCTTGAAGGTCAGGCCTCCCCAGCCTGCTAACCACCAGAATTATCTGCAGACCAGCTTTTCAGGTCCCCCTACCCCCCACCCCAAACCTACTTTGGATTTTCCAGGGTAGGGCCCAGGTACCGTGGAGCTGACTGAGCTCTGCACAGCCTTGCTTGGGAAACAGGGCTACAGGTGCCGGGGGCCCTCAGAGGGCCTCCACCTGACCAGCGCTGCATACTGGGGATGGACTGGCCTGGGGAGAAGCTGGAGTCAGGAGGCTTCTCCAGATGTCTGGAGAATTTTAGGTCCATCAAAGGTAGTGACAGTGGAGCTGGGGAGGATCCCAAACTAACTAGCACTCTCAATACTTAATGACTGCTTGCTTGGAGGTAGATAGTAAAAAAAAAAATGCCACTAGGACTAGTCTTGTGGAGCTGTGTAGAGAGGGGGTGATGATATTTTAAAAATCAAGACAGGGAAGTGCCCCCCTTCCCCCATGGGAATGGTTTGAGGAAGGGGATGGTATGCCCTTTCATTTGAAGGGCACCATGGGGGTGCCTGGCTGACTCAGTCAGAAGAGCATGTGACTTTTGATTTCAGGGTCATGGGTTCGAGCCCCACATTGGTGTAGAGATTGCTTAAATAAATTAAAAAAAAAAAAATGAAGGGTACAATGTTGGTTGTAAATAGTTTCATTCGTGTTCTGTGGGACAGAACTTGGTCATACCTGGCTGCATGGGAGAATACCAAATGCCTTTCTTCCTCGGGATCTGTGTGCCCAGCTGTAATTCTGCTGCTAGGAAGGATGGGGACGCTAGATACTGAGGGTCGTGGAATAATCTTCCACACTTGTCCGTTGCTGAACCAAGCACTGGCAAGAGCTGGAATACCATTACCCTGACTGGGCTTTCTTCTGGAGCCCAGGGTCGGGTCCGTCTCCCCAGACCCTCGGGCCATGTGCCAGGGGAACGTCTTGGAGGATGAGAGAAGGGAGGAAATGAATAGCCTTCATGGACGCCCGACTACACAGACCATGGGATCCGCCTTCACAAGATACAAGTAGCACCTCGAGAATTAGAGGAGAGTGACTATGGTAGAACACAGCGGTGACTGGACCGTGGGGAAGGATGTAAGCAGAGACACAAGGAAACCCTGAAGAAAAATGCCATTTTGGAGGACAGGAGCACTTTTAAGAAAAGTTGAAGTCAGATGAGGCCAGAGTGGGGGTCTTGGGTCTGGCAAGCGGGTCAGTTGGAGATTTTTGAGAGACCAGGTTCCCTGTGGAGGGCAGATGGCAGTAGGGTAAGAGGTGAGTGGGAACTGGGGAGGAACAGCCTGACTTTTCTGTGTAGATGGCTGGCAGAGGAGTCCTGGACAAAGTGGGGATGGTAGCTTGGGATTAGAGAAGAACTTTTGGTTTGTTGTTGTTGTTTTTAAACCTAGAGTAGACAGATGTTGGTGTGTTTTTAGAGCCCAGGGAAGTGGTCCACAGAGAAGAAAACATGAAGACACGGAGTGGGGTGATTGTCGAGACAGGACTCACAGACCATAGAATCAAGGAGAGAGGTAGACTTTTTTTTTTTTTTTTTAAAGATTTTATTTATTTGCCAGAGAGAGAGAGAGAGAAAACAAGCGGGGGGAGCGGCAGAGG